TTAAGAAAACACACCATAACAAGCTACAAATAGTAATTATATCTAATTATTGTTATTAAATTTATTCCCTCACAGGTGAGAGAAGCTATGATCCATCTATGTTCCACAACAGAGTAGAGAGGGTACTGATTGATGACCATAATGTTCCTAGACTAAGGTTAGAAGTTTTGGTGGTATTAGTTTAAAATCTTGCACTAAATACATGTAGTAGTCTAAGTACACCTTGTTGTTTGATGCTTATTATTATTTTGAAAGGCTTATTAGTCGGACAAAAATAATACAGTGTAATTCTTATAAATCAACATAAAACCATGGTAAATAAAATAATATAGAAGCTTAACATACAGAAAGACCTTTAATTTGGAGGGTTTTTTTGTCTAAAATTTGGGCAGAGGCTTATTTAAAATAGAATTGCATTTAGTTGACTGACATGTGTACTATACTTTTGTCTTTTTTTCAGTCAGTTGTTATATTTTACACACAATGTGAGGGAATGGCTTGACAGAGATCCAAAGAATGTTATTGCGGTACATTGTAAAGGAGGAAAAGGTAGTAAGAAAGAAAAGAAACTGGATTTTCCTTTGCTTTCGTATGAATGGAGGGACTGTTTCATAAATCACCATTCTCGAGGAAATACCCAGGGCAGGTGGGAGGTAGAGGGTAATGAAAACAAGGAATCTTAAGTTTTGTCCAACCTGTTTATTATTATCAATAAAATGTGTACTCTTTAGATATCTCTGACTTTGCTGTTAACTAAAAAAAACCCGTGAACACTTTGATTTGATTCTGATGGATGAATTGGGTACTGAGGAGTGACCAAACACAGTAAAGTTCAGGACATGGGAACAAACCTCAAAACCACTACTACTTACTGTTGCTGTTTGTGGTTTAACTTTCTCATGCCTAATTGGCTTTTTCCTTGCTACACAATATTTCTGGTGTTCATGGTTTTCTGAGTTTCACAGTAAATATGTGCATTGGGTAACAGTTAGCTGTTAGGTTATCAACAAATGTGATCACGTGTTAAGTATTGTTCAACATTCAATCTATGCATATTTACCAGCTATAATCATGGTATTTTTTTCCAGGCAGAACAGGGACTGCTGTATGTGCTTGGCTTATCGCTAGTGGGCAGTTTGAGGAAGCTAAGGTAGTTGTCTATAATTAGACCTGTATTTTATTTATTATTATTTATTTATCTAATATGTAATTTATTTTTGATTTTACAATAATTATTGTTCATCATTTCAAGTTGTGAGAGAATCAAACTACACTAACACAGAAAAATTTATTATGATTAGTGACTAGAACAAAGGATACATTAAAGTTATTATTATGAATATATTATTGTCATGTTTAGACCTTAGTCATCACTCTCTTCATTTGTTTTAAGGTGAGGGTTAAAATCTAGTCACAATAATGGTGCCTAGATTTATTTTAGACTAGATATCAAATTATTTGACATCTTTTTTTATCCCTCCTGTTTAGCATAGCCTGGAGTATTTTGGACACAGAAGAACAGATTATTCAGTAGGAAATACATTTCAAGGTGTTGAGACACCCAGCCAGGTTTGTACAGAAACGGTATTAATATAAGGTAAAAAAAAAAATGTACAACTGTGAGCTAGTAACTATCCCAAATAGCTAACTTCAATTTATCTTTTTTTTCTTTGCAGAGTCGTTTTGTAGGTTACCTGGAACAAGTATTCACAAAATTGAATGGGCGACTTCCAGCTGCTGTCTCTTATCGCATTAAAAACATCAAGATCGATGGAATATCTGGTATGTTAATACATCCATTTGTCTATCATAGAGCTTAATTTTAATGGCTAATTAACAAACTCTTACTGTTATGTATCTCTTTGTGTCAGGTGTTGGTTTTGGAAATGGAAGTGATCTTTCGTTTGAGATCATCATCAATGGCAGTACTGTTTTTAAACTGGATCTCTCAAACTGTCGCCAAGGACAGGTGTGTGAACTAAATGAAGTCAGGACCTTGTCTAACCACCCCCTCTCTCTTCACAAAATATCTAGACAGTCACTTTACTGGAAGATAGAGTGACACAGTGATCTGTAGCACCTTGGACATTCAGGTTCAACCTCTAATGCATTCTTTTCCTTCCCTACCTCCGAACTCCTTCCCAACTCCTTCCCTCCTCCTTCTCTCTGGGGACTCTTAGGAATTAGGTTGTAAGTAATGTTATTTGCATTACTACCAGTAGTCAGAGGTCATAGTTGTAAATAATGTGTAATTTTTATGTAATTGTAGCTTTTACACTGTAATTGTTTCTGTGAGGTGTTTACTGTTTAATAAATGCAACCCCTAATGTTTAAGTATTTTGCTTTTGATAGCTACAGCATCTAAAAGATCTTGACAAATTAGTTATCATTCTCTATGAGGCAGAGTCACCAACCCTTACGGGAGACGTGAAAATGAAGTTTTACTCATCACATCAGGTAAACTTTCATTAAATGCCAAATTATAGCATTTGCCCTTTAGAGTAGTTTTCAGTTGAGTGTAGAAAATAATCCAGCAGTTACTTTGGTTTTGGTTTTGGCTTTACTGTGGTTTGGGATTGGTTGAGTAGTTTAATTGGTAAGTAATTGGTTTGGTTTTGGTTTTGGTTTTAGGACTCTCAATTGAAAACTGCTCTATCTCATTGAAAATGACAGTTTTAACCTGCAATCATTTTAATTTATTCTCAGTATTTTTATTCTTACTCATTGTCATTGACATCATTGTCATTTGATGATGTATTTTAATCACAGGATTGAGAACTTTTCTGCTCATACCAAACTATGATCTTGCATGAGTGCATTAGTTTTAAAACTTTGCGTTTTCCTCCTGCAGAATGTTCCTAATGTATACGACAATTGTGCTTTCTTTTTTTGGTTTCACACAAGTTTCATTGAGAATTCCAGGTAAGGCTGTTTCAGTTTTAATCAAAAATCCAAAAGTTATCTGTGGCATTTTGGGGATGACAGGGTGCATGAACGATGTGGAAATCCTTCACTATAAAAAATATTAAAAAGTAATCTACTCATTACGAACTTTCCTTTCCAAATCTGCTTTCATGAATTACAAATAACTTCTGTCACAAAAGGAGCACAGAATGTTATGACCAGAAACCTATCAAACTCATTGCTTTTCTTGAAACTTTGTACAATGGCAGCGTAAGCCATGATAAGCCATAGTAGGTCTGAGTAAAACTACAAGGAAAGTGTGATTTCTTGAAACAAAAATTGTTTTGGGGGCTAAATTACTGTGAAACAAATATAAAGGAACATTACTTATATTGGTACATTAAAATGTTAAATATTGGGAGGTTTGAGAAATCAGGATTCCACAATTGTTCTCTCTCAGAATACTGCATTCTTGTTCATTGCAGGTTGTTTCTTCGCCGGGGAGAGCTGGACAATCCTCACAAACCCAAAACATGGAAAACATACAAAGAGAACTTTGCTGTTGATATAACATTTACAAAACTTTAATTATTTTCCAGATAATTAGTGTAACCTGAGCCTTTTGGCATATTTTTTCATTATTAAATCTTTTTACTGTAAATTTTACGATAAATCATGAAAGTAAAATTTTGGGAAATGCATTTTTCAGGAATAGCTACATGTATTTCTTAGAATTTAATAGGATCTAGCAAAATCTAGCTAAAATGAATGTTCACTCATTACAACAAAATAAAAAAAAACAAATTTTCCAGCTTAGTAATAATTCATGGAATAATGCTCTATGATACTGTATAGTTCATGTCACTTCAGTAATGTTGAAAAGTTCCATGAATTCTACTGATTACTTGTTAAGAAAACCTAGCAAAATGCCAAATGTAATCTCTGAAGGATAGCATCCCATCCAGGGGACACGGGGATTAACAATGCCTCTAGTTCTTTCATGCTACAGAAATCAGAGTTAAGTACTGGCATTGAATGATAACCCTCAAATCCAGATTTCGCCAGTCACAAAACTGCTCTTATGTCCTTTAATTCTCTATGTTGTGCCTGTAAAAGAGACAGCAAATGCATAGTAACCATTCAATGATATATTTTGCAGCTATTTTGATATAAGAAAATATTTTGTAAATGGTTAGTCTCCATTTTGATTCATGTTTTTAAGTGTTACTGGCCCACAGAATATGTATACTAATTAACGA